CCGAGGAGGTTGCCTTTGTCAAGCCTGAAGCAAGGTCTTGGTAAAGAACAGCAGTCATGTGGACAGCGTTGTCTGCTAGCACCTCTGAAATTAGCCACGCTCATCTTCTGTAGGATAACATCACTTCCCCTGGAGGTACACCAAAGAAATTTTGAGGCAGCTGATGATTCTTTTGGTGAGAGATATTTCTCTGATGAATTAAAAGAAGGCTTTCTGCTAAAAGCAGTTTTGTTTTTCAAAGACAAAACTCAGTACTTTTTCTTTGGACTATCATTCTTTTGAAATAAGAGTACTTTATTGATCTTTGAAGTATAATGTCAATCTATAAAATAGTTTATTTAAATGGACCTGCAGGCCACACGGCAAATTCATAGGGATTCTGGAGCCCTGCGCTTTCTAAGGCATAAATTCAAGTCTCGCTCTGCCTCCAGCTAATCCGGTTATAATGGATACCTGATCTGGGGGCTGGGGAAAGATGTCTCCGTTTCTGGCCTGTATTTCTCAGGCCTGAGCTCCTGTATCTGCACTGCCTCATTTATGCATGAGGAAACCAATTTGCCCGGAACTTTTTAACAATTAAGTTTTCTTCCTGCTATCGTGTCTGTGCCCAAAATTTATTATTCAAAGGCTATTATAAGTCAAATCCGTCCTAATCTTTCCTGACTTACACAGGGGAAAAAAATCCATCTTTGCTTAATGACACCTTCCCATGGCATTATCTCAAATGTTGGAGGGGAAGTTCCTGGGATGAGGGACGGAAGACATCCATTCAATAGGCTTTTACAGTGCTGTCTTAATGACAGAATTTAAGCTTGAGCCATGGACTAAGTCATTTGCTTTTGTTTTTCTTTTACCTTCGGTCAGTGATCAGACCTACTGCTCAAACACAGTAAAATTTGCTGCATGAATAATGAATGATGCTGATGGCCATCTCGGACATCTGAGAGCTCAGAGCTGTGGCTCTGCCTAGCTTTTCTGAGATCCCAGCGAAAATCCAAAGCTCTCAAACTCTGCCTGATCAAAATAACTGTGAAAAAGCACAAGTTGTACAGGACTGAGAGCTCTGAAACGAGGCCTGGGGGGTCAGAGGCAGCCGGCTGGGACAGCCACACGTTGCCCCCTCATTGTAAGCTATGACAATGGAAATCCCTTACCAGTCTGCTGGAGGGATCTAGCAACTAATCACAGCTTATTTTTCTGCTTTCCAGAGGGCACAAGAGACTAAAGCAAGCCTCTCAAAATAAGCATTCAATGAGACCATGTCTGCCTTTTTTGGCCTGCAATTTATTCTTTCCTCTTCTAGCAACTGACATTTTATTTCATTTTACTTACTTTTTTTACCCTCCTAACAATCTGTTATTTTTGATTATTCCCTCAGAAAATAGTTGTGCTGAGAAATTATTTTTGGCAGCATTATCACATACACACCTTTCAGATGAATGCCACTGTGAGGCACTGGCTAGGCAGATACTCGTTAAACAGTAACAGTTTTCATGCCAATTACTTTTAATCTAAAACGTCTATAGAAGATTGTATGGCTGTTAATGCCCTATAACAATTCACTACAAAAAAGGTAAACAGGTTATTATACTAAGTATTGATTATATGATTGGAGTTTTGGTTTAAAATATTAACACATTTCATTGGAGAGGGAATTGGTACCAGTTAATTCAGCTGTGCGGTTATATTACTTAATATATTTTAACTGAGTATAGAATTAGGCCCTAATCATGAACACTCTTATGTTTATTACTTCAGTCAAGTAGGGCAGTTCTTAGTGCGTAAACTCCACAATCTCTCTAAATGTTTCCAGTATCAAGGCCTAAATATTTGTGCCGATTAATGCAGAGAAAGCACAACAGCGAATTTTGTACTGAGGGATCTCGGCTGACAGCATTTTCGAGTCCTTATTTAGACACCATGTGTGTGGTTGAATTGTTCCAAGATTCTGAGCATCTATTTGAAATCATCAGAAGCAGGAAACTACAGATCACAGACTGCAGAACAAATGGGTGCAAACCAGGGCTGCATATAACGCACTCCCGTCAGACCTAATGAATCCATAGTCTAACTCTCTTTTGGCTACCATATCCCCAATTTATTACATTTCCAGCCTCACTCAAAATAACTAATTGCAAGGAAAAAATGGAAAACACTCAAAAAATAAATTAAAAATATACTTGCTAGTCCAGCCAGAATTTTGCTTCTGGAAAAGGAGGACTGTGAGAGGATTCATGAGGTCTGTAAATACCCGTGGTGTTGCAGAGGTCCCTTGAAAGTGTTCGGGTACTCTGGCTGTATAACACAGCAATAGGAAACAGGTCCTGCATAATGTGTTGAATTTTGATTTCTGTACTAAGCTTTGGGACATATGTATCCAAAGAAATTGAGTCAAACCTCTCTCTATATCTCTCACTGTCAGATAAGCATAACAATAATGAAGTGTCTCCAAGGGAAGGCACAAGGTTTAAACTGAATTTTTTAAGTTTTAAGAAATCCACCCCATGAAAGCTAGTGAGCGCAAAGGCAAATTTTTTTGTAGTAATGTAATTGTTTTATGCCTAGATATACAATTTGTTAACAACTTCTATATTTTTACTTAGGTATTCGGTTTACAAGGATCCAGCAGACTGGCTAGAAATTAACCCAACCAATGGTACCATCAGCACCACTGCTATCCTGGATCGGGAATCTCCTCACGTTCAGAATAACATATACACTGCTCTCTTTCTGGCAATAGACAGTGGTGAGTAACTATTATGCATCATATTCACTAAAGTATATGACTTTTTTCCCTGCGTGAAATTTCCTGTTCAGAAAGGTGCAGGTGTAGATTTAAGCATACGCTTCAGCACTTTGCTAGGTGGCCGTGTAAGGTATTAGAGATCGTTGTGACAAACAGAAAATAGAGAAATTAACTTAAAACTTCAAATTTAGAACAGCTTCGATTTACAGTTACGTCTCACACATTTATTCCTACACTGAGATTTTAATACTGATGCATATAGTCTATGAAACATTCTTGGAAAGTAATAAATCGTCTTTATCAGAGTTAATTTCTTCATAATATTTGAGCAGTTAGTAGGCCTAAGACACCTAAATACCAATAACAACTCATCCCTGATATGCTGAATTCTATTCTATTCAATACAATGACAGTGACAATAAAAACATAAGTAAAAACCCTTGTTAAAATGCAGTACTTCTTACATAATGTGTGGAATAAAGTTCCTTCTGTCAAATATAATCAAAATTAAACTATTTAGTGAAAATTCAGTGACTGACTTTGGAGCAGAGAAAGAAAGAGAAAATCCCGAACATTCCAAATCTCCAGAGCTAAAGGCACAAAATAAATAAAAGATTTCTCTGTAATATAACAGCTAATATGCTCACGCTTTTTCACAGCTGCAGCTGGTTTAGCCCTGGTGATGAATTGTAAAATGTTCTTTTTAGGAGAGTAATTCTACATTTTTGTAACCACATGACTCAGGGAACATTTGCAGGGCCTGACAGGAAAAAGAAAATATCGCCTTAAGTATAAAAGAAAAAAAAAAAATCTGTTGAGATGATGATTTACTTATATATTCATATACATATTTTTCTCAGGAAATTTCTATGGAAAAATGTAGCACTAAACTTATCTCTGTCTTTTACTTGCTATTGGACAAAATTTTTTTAAATGCATCTTAAAATCTGGTATATGGGGAAATGTCATCTTACAATGAAAGTAAAAATTCAGGATAATATTATTGAGGGGTTATCAAAAGGACAAAGTTGCTTATGTTGTAAAGGTGGAGTCAAATATCCTCAAAGAGAATAGATGGAACAAGAAGCTGAATATTTCCAACTGTGGAAACCAGTCTGAATGAAAGTGGATTTTTGGGTATACCTTTATGTTGCGCTTAGGGCAGTAACATGCATTGCTCAGTTCTTCGAAGCCAAGAACCTCACTGCTAGGTGACCCCTCTTAATTCCCAGAATTTTTTCCGTTCTGGAAAAATGAGAGAAGGGAAAGGCGTTTGTGCGCTGAACAGCAGAGCAAGAGAAGATACTTAACGTGGGTTAGAGACGAGGAATCCTGTTCAGCTGAGGGACTGAGTCAGCATCTAATTCAAGCGCTGTTACTGTGTTTATTTGTAATTCTGCAGTACTGTTAGCACAGGAGCTAATCTGCTCCAACATTATTGACTTCTTTGAGTGAAGTAATTAGAAGCCACATGTGTGCATTTAGTACTGTCATGCTAAGATGTTAATAATGAACATTCAGGAGTATTGTAGTACTTCACTGTATGTAGCTCAGCCACATGTGGAAGTGGCAATAAATAGCAGAACTTAAATAGCTGATATTAACCTTGTGGTCTGCATCACCCAAACAGCTTGTGAAACACATTAAACTTAGACGCAGGTTGGTAACTGGAAAAATTATCTGCTGGTCTGTATGAATATGTAAGAGTTGAATCTGTGGGAGTTGAGAGGAGCAGGAGCTCCTCTGGAGCCCCAACCACAACCTCCATCACACACAGATACTTGCCAGGTCACACCTGGCCAGGGGAGCGGTGCTGGGGAGTGGGACTGATAATATCCCGGGAAGGTGTTCCCCAATTTATTTCCGGGCAACCGTAACGCTAACTAGCAAAGCTATGAAACCCACTTCATTTTTCTAGCCATCATAGCTAATGTCCATATTGAAAAGGGCTATTAGATTAGATGACAAGCCAAATTGTGGTAGAATAATGTGAAATGAATACAGAATTCTTCCAGGACTTTAAAAGAAGGTTATGTTAACTTAAAAGGAAAAGGAAAAAAAAAAAAAAAAATCAGATTGAACATAACTGTATGCATTCTCTTCAAAACAGCTTTGTCCACAAACTGCAATTCTCTTTCTTCAGGTTAGTAAGTGTAGCCTGTCTAATACCAGTGAGTATGGTTACGGATTTTATGTGAGAGGGCAGCCAAAGGCAGGATTAAGAATTGCTAAATGAGATAGGGTGGTAAATTGAAAATTCAGAGGCATTTCCAATAGAGCAAGGCATTTGCTTGGGCTAACAGACTCGGAGCTAAAAGGCAGGAGAGGAAAAAAACCCCATTTAATCAGAGATACTTTTTTCAAAAGTATTCAATGTAGGCTATTATTTCCTTTGGCCTATCATCTTATCTCTAGGTCAAATCTGAGATGTGCTGGCACATGCACTGAGGAAGTCTGAGCTGCCATCCACTTTCCTTTTCTTAACTGGGGAATATAGAAGAGCTCAGGCAATGTCCACTGTGCAGTACAGCGGCGTGAATTGGTGCCCAGCGCAGCTCCAAGCGTAACAGAGCACCTCAGTCCAGGCCCAGCACCACGCAGGTGCTTGCGAGGCTTCCTAGGCAGCCCAGCTCCGTCACGGGTCTGTGTGTCCGTGTGGCCACATCAACAACGCCTAATCCATCTCCCCCAGCACTACCAGGAGTTTCAGCAGTGTTAACGCTGTTAATCGTCAGCATGAGGGGTTGCAAACAGGACGCTTACTGTGGAAGGGTGTCTGTCAGTTGTGCGCTAATTTTTAACGGTATTTCTAATAAGGCGAGGTTCTAAAATCAAATAAAACCTTGGACCTTAGACTTTGCTAAAGGACCGTAGTCATACACTAAACCAGTAAATAAACATATTCTTTTCTGTTAGTATTCATAGCATATAGAGTTTATATAATTACAGAAAAGATACTGTTGTCCCATCATATTCCATGACCGCCTCTTTTTAAAATGACCTTATCTTCACATGCTATCCTGGGTGAGGAGTGGAGACAGCGGAAAACAAAACTCACTTCCCTACCCTTTCACTGTTGTCAATAGAGAATCGGTCATTGGATTCAGCAGGCGCTGGCTTCTTGTTATTACACTTCAGTGCGAGGGACAAGTGCCAGGGCATTTTTCTTATTTGTAAAACGTTGAAGATTTCTGTCAGAAGTAAAACCAGAAGCTTCATGCTTGGTAGTTCTTTATATAAATCCATCACATCTTTATCTTTTTTCAGTAAATCTTAAAACTATTCTTTACCAGTAGGGCAGTAACCATGAATGGACCGTAGAAAATGGAGTCATTCCACTGCAGGAAATAATTCAGTTATTTATGATATTCTTTTTTAACTTTATGATATTATTTGTCAGCATTATCAAATTAACTGCAGAGAAAATTAGTTAAGTATGAATTACGTTATTTCTCATCTAAACAGTTCCTGTACCTTCCCAAACATAATTGAAACAATGTGTAAGGGCAAATTTGATGGACACAGTATTAATTTTATAGATAATAAAGTTTGACCTTTTATTGGGGGAAATTTCACTTTAAAAAGGACTTTTGGAATTAATATCCTAATTTCCTCTCTACTTTTGATTTCAGTAAAGGTCAAGGTAGTGTCTTTAGGATTTGAAAACTCTTTTTATTAAAGACTTGTGTGGACACAGAGTCTCTGGTCTATTAAAAAAGAAATTAAACACTGGTAGGAAATATCATGAAGCAGAGTTAACACATTAAAGTGTCATGAACTGTGTTTAATCTGAGAATGAGCTCATAATGGGACAAAGTCAGGTTTATGCAAACTTGGAAGACATCTGAGGTTTCATTCAATTAACAAAAGTGCCAATAATGGTGACCATTTTATTTCCTGAATTTAGCATTCTAATCACTAGAAACAAAGCAATATCACAAGCATACAGTGCAATTATTGGGAGTATAGCTGTAAAACACACATATGTTAAATACAGACAAGAAATCACTTGAGTTTGAGGAATCTGCTTGGAACAGACCTTCCAGGAGATTTGCTGCATGACCATGTTGTAGCGTCATCCTACAGATTCTATTATGCACTGCAGTATTCAGGATGACTGTCATAAAGCAGAATACCTGTATGTTTTTCTTCTAAGGTCAGTCATGCTAAAAAATCTCCAGGAATGGTCTTTTTTTCCCCCTGTATTCTGAGAGTCACAATTTAGGAAAAGTAAGGGAGGAGTAAAACATGAAAATTTTGGAGGTGAAGCTAAAAAATATCTGGAAAATGTGTGAAATCTAAAAAAGCTAAAATTGCTTTCTCCGTATTTGAGAATGATGAATAATAAAATATAGCCAGATTTACCCTAGTTATGCAAGAATCACTCCTGTTATCGGAGAGGGGCAGGATACCCTAGTTAATGTCCCCATTGTGTAACTTTTTCTATCTCTTCAGGAGAAAAAACTTTGGTTACCTTTGTTTGCCTGATACACAGAAAAACCGGCTATGCTGTTCAAGTTTGTCAGCTGCTGGTGACAAGTGATGAAACACTGATACCCCGCCCTGCTGCTTTGGTTAAATGCAGTTACCTGCCTCACTTTTCTCGTGCCACCCTGGTGGAGTAGCCCCCGCACAAAGCCCGGGAGCAATGTCCTCCTGCTGAGACAGATACTCTCATCTAGTTTAAGTGTGCCACCTTGCTCCCCTGCTATTCTCGTCACCTGCGAACTACTGAGACAAAAATTGGGAATATAAGAACTTCTACTACGTTAAACATAGAGGAGGATAAATGCCAGTAAAAATGTGGCATCTCTTCCAGATGTTAAAGATACTCAGAGATAGAGTTAAGGGTTCAAAATTTTAACTGATGTAGCTTTAAATGCACTAATCACAGTAAGCAGTGTTTCTAACAGCAATACTGCATCAGTGAAAACTGTTTTCTTTTCTGAAAGTGTTTTGCTCCCTATATGACATCACCGTCCTCAGTGTTTGACATTGTA